TTATCCCTGGTAAAAATAATTATAAACCCGTACACCTCTGTTTCAGACAGAGTCAACGAAAGCCCTAATTTTGTTCCTATCTGACAGAGACACTTTCTCTTGTTGTGGCATGATGATAAATCATTAATTTTCGTGTTTCCAATTATGGTTTGATTCCCAAATCTTTTAACTACATTAATGGTATTGCTCAAATTGGGAAATTTATCATCTTGGTCGCTTTCTCAATCTCCCAACTTTCTCTCTTCCCTCGAATCTCGAATTTGCTAGGGTTTTAGGGTTTTTCCCCCTTCTTCTCCCGAATTGAATTTCCCAGATCTCAATTCCTCGTCTAATATTGATCGAAATACGCGGATTCCGGCGATGGCGGATGAGAAGAACGTCGAGCGTCTGAGTGACGGTAGTGACTACTCGTCGGAGGATGAAGGAGCAGAGGATTACAGGAGAGGAGGTTACCATGCGGTTCGAGTCGGTGATACTTTTAAGAATGGATCTTATGTGATTCAGAGTAAGCTTGGTTGGGGACACTTCTCCACTGTCTGGCTCGCTTGGGACACTCAAAAATCGGTTAGTCACCTTTCACTTCTAGGGTTCTTTGAATAGAGAATCGATTTAGGGGTTTTAGAAAGGAGTGAAAAAGGAATTGCTTTTGCTAGGGTTTTAGCTGTACATGAATTGCATTCTTGGGCTTGTCTAGAGCTACCTTATTGGATTGCTGTAGAAGAAAGTTTCAAATTTTATGTGTTATTACGCGTTTTGTGATGGTTTCTTATGGATATAGATTTGAATCTTTGTTTTCAATTCATTCCTTGTAGCGTTATGTAGCTTTGAAAATCCAGAAGAGCGCTCAGCACTACACTGAGGCGGCCATGGACGAGATTAAAATCTTGAAACAGATTGCGGAAGGTGATGCGGAAGATAAGAAGTGTGTTGTGAAGCTTCTTGATCATTTCAAGCACGCGGGTCCTAATGGGCAACATGTTTGTATGGTCTTTGAGTATTTGGGAGATAACCTCTTGTCGGTTATCAAGTACAGCGATTACCGAGGGGTTCCTCTTCATATGGTTAAAGAGCTTTGTTTTCATATTTTAGTTGGTTTGGATTATCTTCACCGAGAACTCTCTATTATTCATACTGATATCAAGCCGGAGAACATTTTGCTCTGTTCCACCATTAATCCTGAAGCAGATGCTCGGAAATCAGGTACTCCTCTTGTCCTTCCAACCAGTAAAGACAAGACTGTGACTGAGAGACAGATTGAAATTGAAAAGCCCAAGAGTTACACATACAGTGCGGATTTGACTAAGAATCAGAAAAAGAAGATTCGTAAGAAAGCTAAGAAGGTTGTAATCCAAGGATGTGGTGGGGAGGAAGGTTCTGAGGAAAATGAGAGAGATTCTAACTCCGAAGCAAGACCAAACGGAAAAAATTCAACTGTGGAGAGATCGGAAGAGAGTTCTGAAAGAGTGAAAGACGCAGAGAATGGTAGTCGAAAGAGTGGGGGAAATAGGAGAGGAAGTCGATCCACGAGGCAAAAGCTACTTGCGGATGTTGATCGAAAATGCAAGTTGGTTGATTTTGGGAATGCTTGTTGGACGTATAAACAGTTTACGAGTGATATTCAGACGAGGCAGTACCGGTGTCCTGAGGTTATTCTTGGCTCAAAATACTCAACCTCGGCGGATATGTGGTCATTTGCTTGCATTTTTTTTGAGCTCGCCACTGGAGATGTTCTTTTCGATCCTCACAGTGGTGAAAACTTTGAGCGGGATGAGGTAGATATCTCTTACTTGCTTTCTCATGTTATGTGAAAAAACACAAATCATTTCACTTTGTGCTGATAACTAATGGACCTTGGTTTCAGGATCACTTGGCATTGATGATGGAGCTTCTTGGGATGATGCCACGAAAGGTAAATCTGATAAACGATTTCTTTTGAGACGGGAATTTGATGGGTAAAAGCTTTTTTTAACGGGATTTGTTTTTATACAGATTGCATTAGGTGGACGCTATTCGCGGGATTTCTTCAACCGACAAGGTGAGCTAAGGCACATAAGGCGGTTACGGTTTTGGCCACTTAGCAAGGTCTTAACGGATAAATATGACTTTAGTGAGGAAGATGCGATTGCTATGCAAGATTTCATTACTCCCATTCTTGAATTTGTACCTGAGAAGAGACCGACTGCTGCTCAGTGCCTAACGCACCCATGGATGAATCCTGTCCCTAGATTATTGAACCCGTCATCGAGTCCTCAAAAACCCAATGAACAAGCAACAGATGAGAGTAAAACGAAGGAAAAGGATGAGAGGGAAGCCATGGAGGTTGGTGTTGGGAATATCGCCATTGATGGCTCAGAATCAAAGACCTCAGCAAGAGGAGGTCGTCAATCTGCTCGGGAACTTCGCACTTAAGAAAACAGAAATCCCTGAAAAAAAAGTTTTGTATTTGTCTTCTGAATCTCTTCTCTGGGAATCAAGGATTTAGATACTCTATTGATTTTTCTCCCTTCATTTGAGGAAAACAAAAAAGATTTGAAATTTCATTCACTTTCGAACAAATTGAGATGATTCATTGATTTAGCAACATTAATAAATAGTGAAGAGCAGAAGCAATGAAGACATAGCTCACAAGTCACTGAGGTTCAATGGAGACCACACAATAAAAATATAATATCAGACATTTTAAGAATTCACCTTTCTCTAAGTACTACTATGTAAAGGGGCCTAGTGCCACAACGTAAATGTGATGAAATTCTCTTTCTTCACGGATTTTCACCTGTAGTATATATATATACGTTTACATTGAGCTCCCTTTATCAGTTTTTAAGGAAAACAGAAAGAGGGAGGAAGAAAAGACGGGTTTACCTCTTCTTTACCCGAATTGTAGGATTGTAGGTTCAAAAGATTTTGCGTTTGCTGAGATAGGAATACATGAGGAAGAAGGCGATTGCAGCGCCTATGATGATTCCACCCGTTGTTAGCCAGAATGCAGACTGCGAAAAACCAGCGAGATGTTAATGGTAAAGTGATTGCACAATGGTTGTAAATATGTGGTTACTTGATGAGGGTTTATTGCTTACAGCTTGTTCTTCAAGATAGGACCTCAAGTTCATGCCGAATATACCTGCATGCACCCAAACCAAAAGGTATAAGCCCTTTACAATGAACAAGGGAAGAATAGGAATTGTTGGCTTTGAGGTCATGTTTATAGAGCAATGATTCTTTGTAGTTAAATTGAAGCAGTGGATATGGAAAGTCAAATGTGGAGTCTCAATTGAATTTTAGGTAAAGATTTGAGAGAGAATGGATACAAATCATGAACAGTTTGTGAATGTACCTGCGATGAGAGCGCCAACTGCAACACAAAATGTCCCAACCTGAAGAAGCAGCTCGAATCTGCTGACCTCAAGCCTCCGAGAACTGAGAAACCAAGAAACAGATATGAATCAGGTATAACGGTAAGAGTGCCTAATCATTCAGGAGACACAAGTGTTGAGTATCTTCCGAACCTTAGATTGACAGCAATTGAGTCTTCCATTTCCTTTGCAGAATCCAGAAGTCTTTCTGCTTGTCCGTGGCATGACTCGCATCTGCACATACAAATCCATAGACTTTCACTACATAACATATCGATATGCTACAAGAGTAGAAGTTAGTTGTGCGGAATGAAAGTCAAGACCTTTGCAGATAGTTCTCCAACAGCATTTCGATTTCCTCTTCTTCTTCTGCAAGGAAGCAGACAAAGAAAATCAATCTCGATAAATTCACCTTTATGTGGTGAATGCAACTGAGAATATGTGACTATGTGTTCAACCTTACCATCAGCAATCTGCTTATCTAAGGGCAACGCACACTCCATATCGTCGTCTCCTCTTCGAAGCGTGCAATTTCTTCCCATGATGCATATGCGGCGTATTTCATGTGGATCCTCTAAAAGATCCAGGAGCATCTGTCTGAGAGCTCCAGCTCTCGAGCCCAATTCAACCTTCCAAAAGTGTAAAGGAAACAAACAATACAATGGAACGAACATTGAGTTCCCTGAAGCAAACACCTGAATAAAGAATATTGATAAATAAACTACTAAATAGAGTTTACCAGTCTTTGCTTGCTAATACGAAGTTCCTCCAATATATCAGCAGTTAAGCGGTTGGGCAAAACCTCAAGAAGTACTTGGACCTGAATCAGATGGCAAACAATTTTTTTTAGAGCAAAGGGAATAATCTAAAAAGGCACAAGCCTTTCATTCCATGCTCAGTGCAATGTGATATTTACAGAACTCAAACTCAGCCTATTGTGCATCTACAAATAGCCGTTTCATTTTCAATAGAAGAACTCAGTCCATTTTCGAGACAGAGAAGGAACCGAATCATAGTGAATTCATAGCCCAGCAGTCGGATGAAGAAGATAAAACTGAGATATACTCACTAGCATTCATACTCACACGAGGTTCGATATCCATAAGCCTTTGCTCTAACCGCTGTATCCTTGAGATTAGTGCTGATTCAACAACCTTTTAGAAAGCAACAATAATGAAAGATCAACAAGAAGATGATTGGAATTATTTTGAACTAAAGTTATATAGAGATGGAAAGATATAAGATATGCTTGATTAATCTAATCATAGGGTTGGATTTCATGGTCGTGAGCTTTTATTTCTTCTGCTCCACAGAAATAAATCATCATCCCATCAAGTTATTAATGAGCCAAACGAACCTCGAGTTCAAATGGCATAGAGGGTCCTCCATTCATAGTTCTCGGGTTGAGCCGAGGCATCAATGTATCAACAAAAGCCCTTCCTCCTCTGCTGAAAATATTTTAGCATTACATCAGTGATACTCAATACAGAGTGAATGATCTGAAGAGTAAGAGACATACTACGACCAAGCTTACCGGTTATAATCAAATATAAGGACACGCTCTCGCATCGCTATTGCTCGCAAGGAGCCCAAATTTAGTAGAATCGCATTTTCACGGACCTAAACAATAGGTAAGGAAAGGTTTCATCATTTTCAAACAAATAGAAATACAATACAGGATGACGAGGTAGAGATGGTTCTCCAACTTCTTTTTCGACATTTGGTAAAGGAAACTATCTTATTACGTTACCGTGGAACCCCAAATTCCGATATATAGAAAGAACTGCTTGTTTAAGCGCTACTTACCAATAGAGAAGGCATCGAGTTTGTCATAAACAATGAAGGATCAACGCTTCTGATATCTCTTGGGCGAAGACCTGATGAAAAAGAGATTAAACATGTCATAGAGAGAGAGAGGCAGAGTTACAGAGAATTTAGCAACATCAACGATCAATCGCCACTGAGTACACAAATGTATATAGAGATCAAAAAGTTTCTGCTCATGAAAATGGTTTCACCCACCACTAGATTTGAGCAGCTGTCTTCTGTTGATCTTCCTTGTAGATATTGCTCCTGTCGACTTCACTTCAACAACCTTTGTTATGAGATACAAGCAAGTAACAGTTTAGAAGAAACCATATGTCTCTTACACGAATTCACCAACAAAATTGAGCAAAGATGCATAATCTATGAACATAAATCCTAGGCATGCAATTCGATTTCCAGAGAGCTTTGTATTCGTGATTGATCAGAATTCTAATAGATGCTCAATCAATTCAGTTTCCAGTAGAGAAAAACATGAAACCTCATAAACCGGCTCACGAATTCCCAGCGACGTAGAATCACTCGAAGAAGAAGGAGAAGAGGAATCGATCTTCTTCGTATCCTCTTTTCCTCCGTTTTCGCCATCACCGCTACTACTGTCACTACCGTCGTCGTCGCTAACGTTTAGGGTTTCGTAATCGCCGACGAAATCATCGGCGGTTGTGGGAGACTTGGCGAAACACTTGGATTTCGATAAAACCTTGAATGCCTCAAAGTAGATCGGAGTTCTATTAAGAGCCGATAAGTGGAGAGAAAAGGAAGGAGAAGAAGGACATGGTGATCCAGGAAGAAGAAAATGAAGAGATGGAGACTGATCGGAGAGATGAAAGAGAGGAGTGAATGTAGAGGGAGATGGAGTTAACGCCATTGTTGGTGGTGGTGGAAGGAAGCTTTGGTCATGGAGAGATTCTTCTTCGTTGGTTTAGCTTATGGATAATTTTTTTTTACAAATCAAAAACAATATCCAATTTGTAAATATTTTTTAAAAATAATTTAAAATGCAATATGCAAACAATCCTGTCTCTCTCAAATATTTCCGAACCATTAAATCTTTTTGGCATTTCTACAAATTAATGTGT